TGACTCTGTAAACCGCTTAGAGAGGGCTGAAAGCCCTATGAAGTGGTATATAAGTCTAACTGCTATTGCTATTTTTTAAATGTGCACCTGGAAAAGCTGGGAAAGATGTTATAGGATGATGTAATGTGATGGGTACCTCAAGAAATGATTTCAGAATTAATATAGGTAAGAGTGGTTTAGCTTAAGCATATTAAGTTAGTGTCGGTTATTTATACATCTGCCTCATTTCTGCTTCACAATAAAGTTTTAAAAAATACATGAAGTTACTGCATTTCTTCTCCGATATTTGTTACACATTAAATTTTACTTTATTTTCATCTGGATGTTTATAGATCTATTATTCCCATGATGGAGAACTAATGGAACACAGGCCTGAAGTGGCACATGGAGCCATGTTGCCTGGCATGCGCGGTGGCGCCCGCTCCCCTTCTCATTTCTGGCGCGCATGTGCATGTGATGATCAGCTGGCCTTTGTGCATGCAGCAGTATTGGAAACCGGAAGAGCTGGTCTTACATTTTCCAGCGTGAGCATGCGCTTCTGGCCAGCTGATCGGCATGTGCAAAGTGGCACGCGGAGCCATGCCGCCTAGAATGTGCGGCATCGCCCATTCCTATTCCGGGTTTCTGTTGTTTGTGTCTCCCACTGCTTATATCATACTGCATGGCATCATCTTTAAAGATGCCTTAAAATGCACTGTCTCACTTTTTACATTTTTTTAGGCAGATTCTGCGGAGATAAACTCTCAAACATTCTCACATCTAGTGATAGTAGAATGTGGATCGAGTTCCGTAGCAGCAGCAACTGGGTAGGGAAAGGGTTTGCAGCCATTTATGAAGGTGAGTCCATAGGAAAATCAACTAGGTTAAACCTTTATACCAGATTAACTTAAAATACCTCCGTGGCCCAAATTCAGCAGGATGTGCATTTTGTATAACATGTGAATTTTAAGAAAAGCAGGAAAATACCAAAATGCTAAAACATGGCTCTTGAGGTAATCACTTGCTAAAATTCTTCCCTCAGACTGCTTTTAAGTTCAAAGAGAAAAATGCAGGGAAGATTTGAGCAATTATTTAGATTACTTCTAGGATTATTAGTAGTCTTCCCTACTGGCCAGATTTGCTGAGGTTTATGAATTACGGACCCAGCACATTTATAATGTAGTGAACCGGGGGAGATTGCCTTATGTGTTAAAGGTAAGGATATGTGAGTAGATGTGAATGGTTCCACCACAAATGCGCGAACGACAAAAGCGCGCCTGACTAAACCGCGGTGACAAAACCGCGCGACGAATGAGCGACGAATGAGCCCTGAAGCACGCCGACAAAAGCGCGCCGACAGAAGCGCAATTTAAGTTAAGATAAGGTTTAGGGTTAGGTTTAGGGTTAGGTTTAGGGTTAGGTTTAGGGTTAGGGTTAGGTTTAGGGTTAGGTTTAGGGTTAGGGTTAGGTTTAGGGTTAGGTTTAGGGTTAGCGCGCTTCTGTCGGCGCG